TGTAGTAACGTCGGGATTTAAACTGTGTTGTAACTTTTTTTCCTCTCGGTCAGAAACGTGGTGAGTGCTCTGCGTGGTTTTTTTGAGGAAAGTGGCCTAAAAGCTGTTTTTTTTTTTTTTTTTTTTTCCTTGTTTGTTTTTTGCCACAAGTAGAAATGACTGCCAGCCTGGCTTCGTACAAAAAAGTCCTCAGTGTCCTCGAGGGGCACTTCTTCATTTTCCACCTGGAGAACATCCTCAAGGCTGGGCTTTATATAAAGACATAATGGTATAACAACAGTCCAGTCCAGTATAATGTACAAATACAAACTTCTGTACAGTGTTTTTAATCACTCATCTGTCAAATCCAATTTTTTTGTATTTATTGCACCACATTTTATACCAATTTCTTTTTCAAACACCAGTACAGTAATTTGTCTCCCTCTCCACCACGTTGTAAGTGAAATAGACTATTTAAAAAACATGGGGAGTTTTACATATTCTATCTGTATCTAGTCATTGCATAGGTTTTTTACATTTGGTGTAATGATTCCACATTTGGTAACAGCCGCTGCTCATCGACCTGTATCGTGACTCACTGTAGTTGGTGTTAAAAGCAGTGTGAAGCAGTTCAATATTGGAATGTAAAGTTTCAGTTTCAAAGCGGTTTTTGTTGCTGTTGTAGCCTGGACTCAAGTGATCATCACAGGAGGAAGCTTTTCTGTATTCATGCCTCAGCATTTTGCTCGTGATTTTTCCCTGGTTACACGACTGTTTGTTTGTGTTTTTTTCTTTTCTTCTCTAAGAAGATTTTTTATTTTTATTTTTTATTTTTTAAGCCTCACGTGGTAGTCTGTGTTTAAAGCCGAGCCACAGGGTGAAACAGTGCCAATGCTTCCAAATCATTTCAGTTCATTTAGGGTCGCTTTCATTGTGTTTAGTGGATACGCTCTGTTGTCAGTTTATACACGCCTAGCTAACATGATTGCAAGGTAGTACAACAGTCTTGCAATAAATCCTCCCTTTTATGAAGGTGATAAGGTTCAGTTTTTGTTGAACATATTTTAGAAAGGTGTTGATTCAACTTTAGGATGGTTTTGAAGGCTGTAGTTTGTGGATGCATTGTGTTGTATTAACAGGTGTGAACCTCTCTGATGTAACACAATGCAACAGCAGCACAAACCGCATCCTCCGAAATGATCATACAGTTGAATCAACACCTCTCTAAAACATGTTCAATGAAAACTGAACATTGTGACCTTCATGAAGGGAGGATTTATTGCAGGACTGTTGTATCAGACCATATTAGTTTTAGCTAGGTGTACCTAATAAACTGACTATAAATCATGAGGCCAAAAGCCTAAAGAAAGACAAAGAGGAAGGGAAGCCATTGAATGCAGAAAAGTAAGAAAATTCCAGACATGTTTCAAGACATATGCAAATACTCCGATTGGAATACTAATGTGTGTTTGATATAAGTTCAATTACCCTGTTGAAATTACAGCCACTCCTGCGCTCTCATAGAAAAATCCAGAAATTATTAATATGCAAATATTCTTCACTTCGAAAGATAGGCGTAAGATTTTACTTCACTGAAAAGTCCATTTTTCAGCGTACGTGCGCTGGAGGTTTTTAAGCGTGCACATCACATTTGTGTAAAACACATATTTGACCTCCAAACAGTTAGTGACGTCCCAAAATCATCTCGTACTTTCACATTTTAAAGTCAACCTTCAGCAGATTTGTTTAAAACCATCCCTCTAGGCTCTGCACATACATCATTCTGCACAGTGAAGGTCAAACACTGAAGGAAAGTAATAATTAGTGGAGTGGAGAGAATCGTCAGTACACAAAAAATATGCACAAATACAGGCAGTTTATTGGATAAAGAAGGCAGAAAAAGGCTTGAACTCTGTGTTCTTAATGCCATTAAATGTCTGTAAATTACACATTAAATTTTCTGGCTTTTCTGCAGCTCCTCTTCTCTTTTCTTTCTATAATCTTTGACCCTTTTTATGAATCCTTTTCCCAGCCCTTTTTTATTGATTCCTGACAAAAGACTAAGCTTGCTGATTTCTTTGTGCAGCTTTGCTCCTAAATATTGCCAAACTCTTTTTATTATTATCGATTCATTATTCTTTATCAGGTAGGTGCATAATTAAGACACTTTTTATTTGAATACTCAAAGGTCTGCGTGTCTAAACTTGAATTTTCATGATTTTTTTTTATTTATTGATGTTTCTTTTTGTTTTGTTTTTTTTTTTTTTTTTTTACATAGGACTCGTGTGATTATCAGACTGCAGGCATCCTCGACTCTTGTGTTTGTGGCTTCAGAAAAAATGTCTGAGTTGTGATGACAAAACTGGTCTTAAAGCCTTTTTTCTTTTCCTTTCATTTCTTCTTTGTCTTTTCAGGGTGACTGTTGTTCAGCTGAAATGCATGCTTCCAACATTAGACACTGGTCGAATCCACTTCTTTAATCAGCTGGAGATTCTTTAAATGCCTGATTCTAATGCTGTTTGTTTTTATCGGTGTTCCTTTTATCTTTTTTTTTTTTTAATATTGCACAGAGATTCTGTAAAACCGAATAGCCTTCATTTTATTTTTTATTTTTTTTGCACCTGCAGATCGCATGATCATGAATTACTTTGTGCCAGTTTGTCCTCTTCTGCCCCTTCTCAGCTGATACAGCAGCAGTATTACGTACGCCTAATTTAAGTGTTCCCGCACGCATCATTTCATTCACTTAAAATACTATGATGTATGTGTTTTGTTGGTTTACTCTCCGTATAGTGCCCATGTCTTTATTTTGAGAAGACAGCATGTTTGTTCTCATTTAAGTGACCCTTTCATACATCTGATTTTTCTAAGTGTGCAGGAATTTGCTCATAATTTTTTTTATAAAATTAAATTTAGGATGGACCCCCACCCACTGACCCCCCCAACACCCCCTCACCTCCTTACCTCCTTATGTCAAAGGGTATGTTTCTGTTCACTGTGACGTCTTTTGGTTTTTGTGCAATGTTGCAGACTGTCATTAAGTTTTTAACTGACATGCTGTCAGAGGAGAAATAGTGTTGGAATAAATAAATAAATTCACCCTCATAAGCACTCATCATCTTTTTACTTGTAGTAAAATTGCTTACAGTAACTCTAACTGGGGTCATATCTATCTCTCGTGGTGTTGCTTCAAGTAAAACGTGGATGAACACAAAATACCATGTTGATTACTGTTCAGCCTGTGTTATTGCATACTGCATATTGTTGAAGAACTTGTAAATAGTTTGCATTGAACTTGCATAGAATCATGTTACTGTGGCGTGCTCTTTTTGCTTGTACAATTCTGCTTCTAAATGTGTGTGACTGTTGAGACGACACTCTTTTTGTACATGACTGTCTTTTTATTTGAGAATATTGATTCTGTCCTTTTTCATTCTAAAGTTGAGTTTGAAGAGTTCAGTCATGCCTGAAGTTTGACTTTAATAAAGCTGTACTCTGTCTCAGTGAAACCCGCTCACTGAATGTGATTTTTTTTTTTAACCAGATACAGATTAACATTCTCGTTTAAGTGTTTGTAATAGCCAGATTTTTACCATACATTTACCAAGAAGATGACAGCCGAGTAAAACTGATAGAAGAAAAATCATGAAGATTATTACATTTTTCAAGCAAAAATTCCAAACACTTTCTGGTCAAAGCTTCTCAAATGTGATATGATGTTTTTCTTTGTCACATCTGGACTGTCGGTCAAATAAAACAAGCAATATGAGCACATCATCTTAGCCTTAGGGAAATTATAGCCAGCAACCTTCACTATTTACCAGCATTTTCAAAGACAAAGCCATTAATGGATCAGTCGAAAAAGTAATTTATAATGAAAATAATCATTACCTGCATCACTGAAATAGAATAAAAATAGTATTGATTCCAAGGTTAGTAGAAAAAAAACTGCATTATCATGTAGTATGTTTGTGTGTTAATGGTAAGGAATTCACCAACATAAAAAGCGCAACCCAGTGTAAAAGGAAAACGTACATAAATAATTTTGTACTGTGAAGTCTCTTACAATCTCAGGACATTCACATCTGAAAGTCAGAAATAAAGCAACTTAAAACCATAATACTTTGTGGGATTAGAGGAACTCATCTGTTTCCACTGAAGAGGTTTTTTCTTTTTTTTTTTTTTTTACCTCTAGATGGCTCTCTCTAACGTGACGTGGCTTCTTGCATCCACTTGTCAAGCCAGATAAAATCATCTGCACAGCCATTTCCGGTTTATGAATCACTGCAGATGTCCCAAATATTCAATATCTCCAAATACCCTGCCTTTGTCAAGTTATTAATTTAAATTAACTACAGTGATTAATGAATGAAAAAAAATAATTCTATGGGCATGTATAAATATATTGGATATTTACTAATTAGAGACCAAATGAGAGTAAAAAATATGTTAAATCATCTTACACTATAAGAGCACATGATTTTTGAAACCCCTGTGATCTACCAAAAATCTCATTTAATCTGTAACTTGTACAGGTAAAATGATAAATGACAAGCTTGCAGTATGAAACTGATTCTGCCAATACATGGCAATAATAACTGATTAATATTGAGCATTATTCTATATATTTATCACCAAACAAATTTGCCGCAGTCATCAGAATCTTCACACAAAAGCCTCTCAACCATAAACTGTGGTCTATGGTCTCAACACACTTCACAAGATACAATGAAAACAACAGCAGTATTAACACACAGTACAACTGACAAATTGTCAGAGAACTGTAAACACCTTAAGGCATGATATGATGTTATTTAGAAAGAATAATAATAATATTAAATATTTTTTTCAGTTTCATCTACTGGTAAAAACAGTGGGATACAACTGAAATCTCCACAACAAGTGAATAAGTGGACCTTAAATTGACATTATTATATTACAATTAACTACGTAATTTATTTTGAAAATCGTAAACCAGAAGTAGCGCTGATGCTAACCGTTAGCTTTACACAGTGCTCATCTCCTCCGTTGCATCCCCGTTTCTCTCAAGTCCTCAAATGTGCGACTTCCACCGTCGTTAGAAGCAGAGGATGTCGAGGCCTGATTCATGTTAACAGGACATGTTAATATGAGGATAAAGAGATAAAAAAAACGAGCTGTTTAAGGTTTGTAACGAGCCAGAGATTCACAGTTTGACAAGGCGGAAATTGGCCAGATGTCTTGTTTGACAGATGTTGCTAACTAGCTTAGCTCAGTCTGCTAACATCTTCTTTCTGCAGCACAGGGGCTTGATATTAGCTCGTTTGTCTTATTTTGTGCGCTGACAGGGGCTTGAAGGATGGTGCATTTGATCTGGGCAGTAGTAAAAACAGGTTTAATATTTTATTGCATTAAATAACTGCTTCTAAATATGTGTATCAGCTGGAAGTGGAGGGCACAGGTGCAGCATGTTGGCCTTTATGTCAGGTTTTGGACAGGATAACCTGAAAGGTCCTCAACATTATCGTTACCAATATGTCACCTGATATATACTCAGATTAAAAGTGGTAGATATGTATTGTAGAGAGGAGAACATCTCCCTCTTTTGTTGGGTTTTGGGTAGTTTCTTCCGTCTTCTTTGAGACGAATGAAAACTAAGGGACAAGGGTCAATAACCACCGCTGATGTGGGACTGTCAAAGCTGGATCCCCGGGGCCCAAGACCCCCTGGGGCCTCTAAAAACTCCAGTTTCACTTTATATCAGTTGGTTGTACTGTTTATGAACAACAAAAGAGAAATATCAGCTCAGGTGGGGCCCTTCATTTTTTCTTCTTTTCTGTGGACCATCTTATTGATTAAATGACCGATCATTTCAGCTTTAGAGCACTTTGGGGGTTTCTGTGTGTCTGGGGAAATAATGATGTTGCCGTGTATGGTTGGGGTCAACAGGGACCCAACAAGTATCATGAAGAGGTCAGATTTTAGTTTAGCCTGTACTTTCTCACACAGCCCTGAAAACATATGTGTCACTCACCTCACTGGACAAACCTGTGTGGTTGCCATTGTCTTTGCCAGTTTATTGATTTCCTCAGCTTATTCATTGTAATCAAAGCTGTTTATGGCAGATGTTGATATTTGAAAGTCAAAAAATTCTTTAATGGTGTACTGGCTGATAATCTTTTCCATAAACATAAAACATAAACAAACATTTTTCATAAGAATCCCTTAAATGTATTTGATGTACTAAATGGGACACTTTACAGCTGAAAAATAAATGTGAAATAATGATATCACTGTGTCTCAACTACCTTAGATATGTTTTTGGCATCATCCTAGAGCAATTTCTTACTCATCGGCTGACATATACAGTGATTTTGATATATCTGCACTGAGCTATTACCAGCTGATATACTGTATACTATATATGTAAGCCTGGGTTCTCATTCAGGCTTTAATTAAAAATAAATAAAGAGCACAGTGCAGATATTTATACTAAGTAATTGTGGACTAAAGTAAATATAATTATTGCCACCTTCCCTCTACCAAATGAGCAATAATCTTCTCAACATTTAGACAGTAGTTTAACATGCACCAAATTTAACATAAGTCAAACTAATGACACTATAAACTAAAACTAACCCTCACATATTTCTTTAGTCCCTGTTCAGTTAAAAGGTGGAGTGACGATGTTTGCTGTTGACTGAAGTTCACTCTGAGAATCAAAATGAAGGGAAGGCTTCTTCGTGGTTTCCTTTCGGAAATCTCCATCCGGATGGCGCTGTTAGTGGTGTTCCTGTAAGTATGTCCTCCTTTAAATTATATCTGTCAATTCATGATTGCATTTGCAGCATTGCTTTATAAATCCATTATCTGAAATGCAGTAGGTGTGGTTTTTCTTTTTTTTTTACTGTCAAAAACTAAACACCCACATAACTCTGGTTTTGCTACACTTAGTGTGACGGAGCAGCTTCCTCCTTTCTACCGTGAGATCCAGGCAGAGGAGATGTGGTTGTATAAATTCCATCGTGTGGAGAGAGACCATGTACCCACCCTTCTCATGTTTGTAAGTAATATATCTACATGTCTGCGAGTTACACTGGAACAAATCAATCCCTCAGTTCAGTTTTTTAACAATCTTATCTTATCTCTAACAACAACACAAAAATAAGGGAGCCTCTGTAGCATGTTCCTCATCTCTTCTTGGCCTCTAGCAGCATAAACAGACCTGAATCTCTGAATGATTTGTTGGCGGCCAAGTTGCATTATGGTCAATGTAGGCGCCAAGTTTTGACAAAGAAGACAAATGTATGGAATAAAAAAGACAGCATCTTTGGTCAATGCATCAATTTTTATCTGTCCATTGTGAGATTTACAACATTGTAGGAGTTCAATGGTTTAAACGATTGCTTTAAATAGATTAGAGTTGTTATGCTCTCCTCCTTTTTTTGTCTGCATCAGAGTGTGGCGGTTTTCACCCCGCTGATTGTAATCCTGGTTTTCACCTCCATGAAGAGGGCAGAGCGAGGAGATTTGAAAGAAGCCTCGCTGGGTAAGAAACTGACAGTTTTTCATATTAAAATGAGTCAAGTAGCTTTTTGATTGGACTTATCTTTTTCATGATTCAGTTCTTTTTCCCCCTTTCATCCAGCTGTGACTCTGACTCTGGTGCTGAATGGAGTTTTCACCAACGTCATCAAACTTGTTGTTGGCAGGTAAACACTTTACACAGCATTAGTAGGTCATATAGTTTGCCAGTGTTAAAGTGGATGAAAGCCTACATTTTTTTCCTCTGTGTTCCCTTTGCCTCTTCCGTCAGGCCGCGACCAGACTTCTTCTACCGCTGTTTCCCAGACGGTCACATGAACCTGGAGCTGCGATGCAGCGGTGACCCTGATGCCGTGATGGAGGGCAGGAAGAGCTTTCCCAGCGGGCATTCTTCCTGTAAGAGAGGCTCTTATGTGCAATTATGTCTCTCTATAGCTGGTACATTTTCATCAGCTGGCAACAATGAAAGCAAACAAATGTAAAAGCAGGGCAGGGGCCATATTATACATCTGAAAATAGATATATAAGTGTTTTTCTGCCTCCAGGCTCTTATTTTATTGTATGAGCAAGAGAGCATCACACATTACTCTAAAAAAGCATCTCTCCATCTCTAGTCCCTGCCCCTTCTCCTTTAGTTGTTTTCTCTCTATGATTTCTTAGTGTCTGTATAAAACTCCTCCTGGCTCTGCTCACCCCTTTGATCTGTTCTTCCTGCTCTCAGTTGCCTTTGCAGGTTTGGGTTTCACAGCACTGTACATTGCAGGAAAGCTGCGCTGCTTCAATGCAGCAGGTCAGGGCAGAGCATGGCGGCTGTGTGCCTTCCTCACCCCTTTACTGATGGCGACTGTGATCGCCCTCTCCAGAACCTGCGACTACAAACACCACTGGCAAGGTCAGACTCACAGAAAGAGCTTAGATTAGCACAAAGCATCATGCAGTACATGCATTTGCACATTTGCACACAGAAGAGGTTGTGTTAAAGTGTCAGCACAACTGTCTCGCCAGCCTGGTCTAATAATCGGGCTGAATTGCCATTTGTTTTCAATTAGGCCCATACTAACCAACCAGCTGCTCAGGATGAGTCCGTCCCATCAACATCATTTTCAGTCGACGTCAAAGCTGCAGTTGTGTTGGCAGTTTAATGTTTTCCATGCTGATTGAAGAAATATGACAATCCTGAGCCAGTTTCACACTGGCATGAGAACCAAGTGTGTTTTTACTCCACTGTCTTAATGTCCAGGTTGTTCTTAGATTTATGGAGCCTTGCAGTAGTTCAGGCTGGCAATAAAATCATTTTATGGTCACATTCCATACACCCTACAGTGATGCATGTCCAGGATATATCTCTCACAATAGGCGGTCCATATATACACTTGCAGTCTGCATACAACACCACTGAGCTCTGCATCCTCACTGCTATTCTGCTGTCTGCTCTCAGAAATTGAACTCCCTCCGCCTCCCCAGCCTCCTCCTGTATTAGAATTTAGTTGTACATTAATTTTTAATCTTTTTAATATGTGGTCACGTTTATTAAATGTTGTGGGGTTTGTGAACTCAGAGATGGTTTGTGAGGAGCCTGAGATCAAGATGCAGAGATATGACGGTGTGCTTACTGTCTGCAGTAGAATCCAAAGATCCATTTCATCCATTTTCTGAAGAACTTGGCGCCCTAAACATGAATATATGACACTAAAATCTCTTAGGGTTAATATTTACTCAAAATATTTTAATCTTTACATTGGGGATGTGAGAAAACATTCATGGGAAGCTGTGGAATCAAACTCTATATCTCTCATCTTCTCTGTCCTTCATGTAGATGTATTAGTGGGTTCTCTGCTGGGCCTTGCCTTCGCCTGGCTGTGTTACAGACAGCACTACCCTCCACTCCAGGACCCCGACTGCCACAGACCTCTGCGTCACAGAGAGACTGTTCCCGCCGCACAAGAACGCAAGCTGGCTAACTCCAACTACATCCTACCCCTGTAGAACAGCTGTAACTGGAAAATACCCTTTGATGTTGTAATTTATACTGGGTTACACGGTAATCATTCTAATTCTGGTTTTCACACCATTAGGGCTGGGCAGTATATCGATATTTATTGTTTATCATCCATCACTGTAACTGCATTGTGGGCAATTTCTTTTTGTAAGGTGACACATGGTTTGTTTTCTAAACTGAAATTACAAACTCATCACTGAGTCAGATTTCTCTCGAAACGGTTTCTGAAGCACTTGAGATTTGCTGAAAATAACTGACAACCATTCTTCACGCTAAAATGATGTCGTTAGTTAGTGGATGTTTTAGCACTGGAGGTCTTCTGGTTATGACGGATACTTAAGTTTAGACACATACACAACAAACACTGTTCTCCATATGGCCCAGCCCCACACACACCCTGTGTATTGTGCCTATAGATCACATGACTTTAAACACTCACAACAGCTGAGCAGGTCAACTACACAACCACTGCACTAGTAGTCCACTGCCCATCAAGCTCTGGCTCAGCTGCTGTGACACAGTTTCTCATGTAGGGTCACTATTTCGTGATTGTTTTGTAAACTTGCAACTTTTTAAACAAGCAGGGTTGAGGTTTAAGGGAAAATGCCTGTATACAGTATTTTCATTTCTGTGCATGGTTGTTTCGTTCTTGACCTCTAGGGACAATATGTGGTGAGGAGAGTGCGAGCTCAAAGATCCACTCACTAATGATTCAATGTCTTCAACGGCATCGTATGGTCCTGGAGCTGGCTCAGACGTTATCGCGTGACACAAACGTGAAGCGGCTCAGCAAGAGCCCGAAGGAAAAAGCGGTAGCAAATGACGTCAGCCCTCTAAAAACACCAGAGCTGCCACAACATTGACTGGGAAAGGGTCACGGTCATTGACCACGAGTCAGCTGGAGAAAGATTAAGGAGGCCATCTGATGCCAGAGACTAAAACAGTTTGTGGTCATCTGCCCTCATTAAGAACCAGGTTTTCTTTTGTAGGAATGCCCAGTACATCATAGTCTTGGCCCATTTGTGCAGTTGGGGGTTAAAGACCTTGCTCTAGGGCACTTCGGTGGCAGTAAGGGGCAACATCCACTCTTACACTTTTTACGCAGATTTATCCTGCTGGTTCAAGGATTGAACCAGTGACCGACCAGTCACAAGACCACCTTTTAAGCCTGTATAAAAGGAGACTGACCACCTGTTATGACTCGACTGAAAGTTCACATTTATTGTCACGTTACAACAAACGAGCCAGCTGCATTTGCTGAAGAAGACAGTGAGATGTGATTAAAAGCACCAAAATAAGTGGATCTTTGAGCTCAGATTTTCTTCACCTTATAAGGCTTGATTTTTCAGGAGGAAACAGGGAAGAAAGAGATGATGTGGGCTGTTCATATCTAAAAGGGGTGGGTGACATGGATAAAATGGCTTTGTCATGGTATATGCGATTGTATATCATGATATATTTTGTGGTAAATACATTTTTTGAAAACTGATAAGAGAAATTATTAACAATAAGACAATAAGAAAGACAAAGATAACAAATTTATCCCTCAAAGTGACAAAAATTTGTATTTATCACAGCGTATACTGTAACATCGCCCACCCCTATCTGAAAGTAACCACCTCAGTTGCGTTTAAAGGCAGGTTAATCAAAAATAACTTTGTCAGCACTGCATCTTTGGTCTCTGCAGTTTTGCTCTGCTGCCTCTGTCTAGTGCTTTAAATCTCTCTGTCTTCCTATAATATATTTTGAATGTTTCCATTCACAGATTTTTTTTTTTTAGATCGATAACCCGATGTAGCAGTTCCACTCAACTCTTCCCGCAGTTTTTGCTGTGCCTGCTGTATTTTAATTCTTTATCACAAAGACAGTTTATGATCACATCTCTGCTCTAACTGGACAGCACACCTAATATCATTACAAGTTGATATGACTGTAAAACAACTATGAGATGTTGAAATGTTTTCCTACATCAGTGGTCTCAGGCTTACTGTAGGTCTGGTTTTTGTTACTGCACACTCTTCTGGCTCCTCTGCCAACCTGGCTGAAGTGTGAAAGTTCACCATAAGTGGAGAGATGAAGTGTACGGGGGTTGGTTTTTGGTATCAGAGTGGAACCAATTCTTTCCGATGAACTTGAGTGGGGTCGGATTGTAACCTCTCCAGGTGATGGTGCTAGACTCCCAGTGCTCCTGCTGGTCAGGTTTTCTATCCTGTTAATAGTTTTAATGGCATGTGACGTCTGGTGGTTTTGTTATTCTTCTCTGGTAGTTTTCATCAACTTTCATTGAAGAGGGTGAACGATACAGTCTGCGGGTCTTATATTATTTTTGTTTTGACTTATTTGTGATCTTTCTGTTTTATCTGTTAATTATGTGTAATTTGTCCTTTAATTATATGTAATTGTAAGGAAAAGATTTTGCTTGCGAAAGTTTTTTGCAGGGTCAAAGCACTTTTTGCTCGTCACCGTGAATCGAGCTTAAAATGGCTGGATCACAGTGGTTTCAGACCAAACATGGCAGAAAAAAACAGATGAATTTGTGCCTTTGTTTACTACATCGCTTTATGGCTCTCTGTTAATGAATGGAGTATATACTGCATGTGACGGAGTATGCTCTCTGTTATGTTAACTTTGTTTTGAATCTTTACATTTTTATTGTTTTATAGAGTAGAATATAGGAATCATTTGTGAAGATACTACATGGTGTTTAAATGTGGCATGCTGCCTTCCTTTACCTCAGAAAAACCTTGTTTAATTACTTTCCATAACTTTAATTGTTAATGTAAAGATTTCTGTCTGGAAAGTGTAACATTTACAACTGAGGTACTAGACAGAAGGAGGAGAACTTTACTTTTTACAGATCTTTGAGACAAATAATATCTTCATTTACTTTGTCATTCTTGCAGGTATTTATGAGATAATGTACAGGTCTAGGTGTATTTAATTTTGGGGCATGTAGGAGTTTACTTGAATTTTGAATATTTGTTCGTTTACCTTGAATGATAATGTTATTTCATGAAAATAGGAACCATATTTGTTGTGGGCACGTGGGTTTCTGGGGGATGTTTCAGACAAAAAAAAAAGTTCATTATACTCTGCTGCATTTTTCTAAGATCTTGCATGTTTCACAGCTGCATAGCAATATATTTTCCTCATTACTTCCTTCCAAATCCCCGCATTTCCATCCATGTCTATTAATTTATGTTATTACCATTACATGTATACTGTATCAGGTTGTTGATCATGTCCAGTCTCCTTCAGATCTGCTGTCATGACGAAGGATTATACGAAAACCTGCCTGTTTGTGTTATTTATGTTGTGCCCATGATAATTTGCCTTGGCTTGTAGGACCATACAGCAGCCGCTCATGCTGATACAGTATCCTGATTGTACATGTTGTGATGCTTTTAATGGATCTTTTGGTGGCACTAAATAATGTTTCTAAATAATCTTGCATTACCCGCTGTCCTTTGCTTATTTTCTTTTGAGTCAGCAATCTTAGTTTTCAGTATGTGTGATGATTACAGGTACCAGTTTAGACAATCTGAAATGTATAGTAAAAGATATATTGAAAAGTGGGCAAATAATAACATGATACAGAAACAAAAAATGTTTATTACAATTGTAAGCTATAATTAGTCAAATTATGAAGCAGCTTGGGTTGCAGCAATGAAGGTACGCAGAAAAGCAAAATTTATTTTAAATTTATTTTAAAGCTGCAATTTATACATTGTTACATTTCTAGATGATGTACTTATTGTTTGATACTGGGAAGCCCTTTCCTAGTTTGCATTTTAACAAGAGGGAATGTCAAACCTAGATCAAAACAATCATTCTTACATTCCTTCTCCTTGTGCAGCCCTTCTCTTAATCGAACAATACTGAAGAACCTGATCCTGAGGTTTGTGAATATGGCCACCAAAAAGTTTATTATTGATTTACTGATTATTATTCTTATATTTTTGCATTTTATTTTATTTTTTATCTAAAAGCTGCAGAATTTAAAGCTATTCAGTCTAAAAAATATGAGAATTGGATTTAGAAAATGTGTAAGTTCTGTATAATTCTGTGTAAATTCTGTATAATTATAGTATAATTATAGATTATAGAATATAACTGCCCTCCATGGTCAAAACTCTCTAATTCCAAGAAACAAAACCTAAGGCATGTCTTCAGTGTGGCCCTGATCACATCACAGTACAGTAAAGTAGTTAAGTAAATTAAAATTATATTAAAGTTAATTCATTACTCTTTGTACTGTTTGTGAGATCATTGTAAAAACCAACATTGTGGAGGCAAGTTATTAATGAATTACAATTTTTCAATCAACACAATTTGACAGGAATCGGTGTAAACTACTGTGTGGTCGCCTGTATTTAGTTAGTTATTTATTTTCCTGTCAATATAATGTTTTACACTCCAGTCCGGTAGGTGGCAGTAATACACCTGAAAGCGGGTTTGCCAACCGCCAGTCAAATCAATAGAAGAAGAAGTATGTTTTTTTTTTTTTTGTAGCTGCTTTGTTTTATTCAACGTGATGGCGTGGCCTCGAACGTGTGACGTATGTTACGTCCCTCCCCAGCGATTGGTTTGATGTGACGTGCAGATTTGGCGCCACATTTTTGTAGCAGAAAACGCTCCGGTCCTGACAACAAACCAAAATAATTCGCTGTCCATGCCACTCTAGGGTTATTTTATCGAGTTTGTCTCATCTTAAAAGTTTTTTAAAATGTTCATCACGGACATAAGAAAGGAATTTTATGAAGTTGTTGCCAACCAGGTAAGTTTGCAGAAAGTGTAACGTTTGGTTAGCTAACTTGAACCATGAATGGGTTAAACAAGGAAACGTACCTTACAACACTGAGCGACCGCTTCTCCGTTTTCTGCTCCTCTTACTGTCGTGAAAGGGTGTTAGACATTGTAGTTAAAGGCTTAATGAGTTTCAGACACTAAAGGCTTTAACTACAATGTCTAACACCCTTTCACAACAGTAACAGGAGCAGAAAACGGAGAACCTGCCGCTCAGTATTGTAAGTTATGTTTCACTTAACTTTGCCCTTAACTGCTGATTTGGAGGCGAACTTAAGCGTCAGGTGTTTGCTAACGCCACTCAGCGTATATCAAAGTTGGTTATTATATAATTTTGAGAAGCAAAGTATTTATTTTATAAGTTCACTAAAAACTACATGTTCAACGTTATCTTGTTTTCAGAGAGTCGCACTCCTGGTGGCGTCAGACATCGACGCTCTCTGCGCCTGTAAGATACTACAGGTAAGATACCCACCTTGCTGCTAGCAAACATTAGCTCCCTTTACCCCGTGTTACCTTTGTCATCATCATCAACACAGTATGGGCACAGACTGACATCACTTATCCTCTCCATGTTACATATACAGCTGAAACGATCAGTTTAGAGCTGTAGCTGTCAGTCGATTGATCGATTTGTCAGTCAACGGCAAACTATTATGAAATTATCAAACTGTTTTGTTAATCAAATAATTGTTGTCATTATATAAGCAACAATCTGCTGGTTCCAGCTTCCCAATTGTAAAGATTGTATGTCATACATGATAGTATGTAGTTGGTCGAACAAAACAAGATATTTGAAGGCATCACTGTGGGCTGTGATGCCTTTTTCATGTCTTTTTCTAGACCAAGCAATGATGAAGACACTTTAAAATACAGATTAATTGATGAAGAGAATAATAATTATATGCAGCCTTATTGAACTATAGTAACTATTCACAAACTACAGCAACAAACGATGGTAAAATTGTCTGTCAGGTCAAAACTTTGATTAATCATATTATGTAGACTCAAATGATATGGAGTTCCTTCTTTATGTACTGAGTGTTTTGTACAATAACTGACACGTGGTCAGGGGTAGGGGGATCTGTTGAAGCATGTTAACATGAGAACATGGTAACTAAATACTCCCAGTACTTTTACACTTAGTGTGGGCATTTTTACTGGGATGAAGATGCACATTTCTGAGATCAAACTAATTGATGCTGATATCAAATGCTGCTAAAATGATTATAGTTATACTTTTAGATTTGTCTATCTCAC